TCCGCCCACCAACCACCCACCCTTAGGGGGTGACTTTGACTTATTCATTTCAGACCAAGTTCTATGAACGAGAGTTAGCAACAAATTGTAATATAACTGCAGCGCATTCTGTTGACTAGAACCTCATGGAAACCACGAAGTGAAGTAAACAATGAAACATCTTAGTTTCATATGAGCTCACTTACTGGGCTGTCCCAAGCCGCTCATCTAAAAATTCAGTTTATAGGGTTAGGTCCCTAGTCACCGAGGATGAGATTATGGAAGCATGGCAACCCAGCCATGCCCTCCCTTAAGGTCATGCAGGAGTTGAAATACTTCACACCAGGCTACATCAGCGAGAGTTAACAAAAATTAAATAACCCTGTAGCGCCATCTGTGGAATGAAACCTGAACATTACTCCACAGATGGCGCTACAGTGTTATTTAATTTTTTTGTTAACTCTCGCTGATGTAGCATCCTGTCAAGGGTTTAAATTCCTCATCCTCAGTGACTAGTGTCATAGCAATACAAAATTAATTTTAGAGCGACTGCCCCTAGTCGGTAAAGTTAGTGCTAACTTTAGCCGATAGAGGGTGTCGCACGGTCCGCGCAACGGATCCCCACGGCCGTTAATTTCGGTTTTCTAGACCGGACAGCTGTTCCCTTGAAATAGCTCTCCAGTTATCAACCTGAGGTTGAGTGGACCCCGGTCCGAACCCACTACTTCTCAGAAAATCTGATAATCCCGGGACTCTGACCACCAGACCACAGAGGCGGTCTCTCTAAACCACACAACTCATAAAATGGCAACTTTAGAAGGGGGGAAATCTGTAATGGGAGGGGTAATCAGCTGCGGGCATGGCTGTATGAGTTCTGTGATTCGCAATACAAGAGTTAACGGTCTAACGCTGATTTCGCCGTAATTTTAAATATTTTTATGGTCACAGAAACATAATTCAAATTAACTGCATTTGGTCTAGCATTTGTACTTTTTTTTTTGTTTCCAGAATTACAGTTATAAAGGGAGCCTTGCAATTTGAAGTCCGTCGGTCGGTCTTGTCAAAATATTTTTTTTTAATTCACTTAATGGGGAGTGAAGTCCAACTGGGTCCACTCGGCACGGTGGCCACTGATTGGCCTATTGTAGCCTGCCCTAGGTGATTATGAAGATGGAGAATTTGGTGGAATGAAGATTGGCAGGGGAAACCGAAGTACTCAGAGAAAACCCGCCGCAGCACCACTTTATCCACCACAAATCCCACTTCATCATACCCGAAATTGAACCCGGGCCGCCGCAGTGGGAAAGCAGTGACTTACCGCTTGAAAGCTATGGCGTGGCCCTGTCAAAATATTTAATTGAAGTTGGTTTTTGTGACATGGTACAATGTAGTAACTAAAGCCACTGCTCTGCATTACCAAGTTGCTTCCCAAATGTACGCAAGCGGAAGAAGAACCCATCTGGTCTTCCCTCAAACTCGTCACTAAGAAGAATGTGTCTGGCTGCTTTGTAACCAGACACGACAACAACGCGTGTTCTGCCCAGTCGAGCTCCAACCACGGGACCAAATTTTGCATGCAGGCTGTCCCACACAAGATGATAGTAGCCAAGCTTCTTCTTCTGCTGCTGGAACCACAGGTAGTTACCCACTACTGGCAGCCATGCTGGGCCTAAGTATTGTAAGCAAACATTGGTGGCTCATTTGCAGAAATTCTGAGGCTCTAGAATGGTACTTCTGTAAACAATTATTTTGGGCTCCTTTAATGTTATGTACTTATTATTTATTTAACAATTTGCTGGTAGGGGGGCACACAGTAGCATAGTTGGTTGAGGCATTATGCTACAAGCCGGAAGGTCGCGGGTTCAAGTCCGGTTGAGGTCATTGGATTTTTTCAATTGACCTAATCCTTCTAGCCGAACTACGGCCCTGGGGTCGATTCAGCCTCTAACAGAAATGAGTACCAGGAATATTCCTGGGGGTAAAGGGTGGCCAACGCATAAGGCTGACAACCTTGCTGCCATCTGTGAGCCGACTGTCTAGAAAATGTGGGAACCTCAACATCTCACAACCCTATGCACCTCCACGGCTTGCTATAGGGACACCTTTACTTACTTACTGGTAGCCCAGTCTACATAGTATTAGTAAAACGAGTGAACAGTTAATTAGAAGAAATGTACAAGGAAGTGTTAATGGCCTAATTTGAGACAATATCCATATGATATAATTCAGCAGTGATTGCTCTGCTAGTCTGTGACCCCTTGTTGTCTTGTAAGCAGATACAGTCCTCAACTGCCCATTTCCATCCTGTGACAAAGAACTGGATGGGCCGTTCTGTTGTTTAGTGCTCCAGTAGGCATTCATTGGGCCCCAGATCCTTACCCCCTTCATGGGTTAGAATAACAACTTTCCTAGTAACATACATACATAACACAAGTGATTCCTCACACTATACACTTTGACCCTGAAGATGGAGGCAGGATATTCCTCCAAAACATCAGTAACTGCCTACAAAACTACAATATCATAACTCAAAACCCACAATCTAAACATAGTACAACACTAAAATCCCCTAAGGTCAAGCAAAATGGGTACCACCCTGCTTCACATTGAAGAGGACCTGGGTTCAAACCTTCATGTAGACAATGGCTATGCTGACTGAGGTTTTTGTGGTCTTTCTCAGTCCCTCCAGCCAAAACCATGACAGTACCTCAAATTAGGCCATTAACAATTACTTTTATGTACACACTTTCCAATTTACTATTCACTAATCATCTTAATATTTGATGATACATAGTCCAAGCTAATCAAGCAAACTCACCTGGTGGGTATCCATGTGGCTTCTTTACATCTGCCCATATCAAGCATAAGAAGACACAAATTACAGTAATTAACCAGAACATTTTATGTTCCAACACACAAACCTTTTCTGTCCTGTCAAAACACAAAACCAGGAGCAACAGCAACAGCCCCTATATATAAGCAACATGGCTTTCATCTCTGACCTTCATCTTTTTCTAACCTCAGGACATAAAGGAAACAAAGGATATTTATATATATTATCTGTGGGTGACAGGTCATGCCCTTTCAACTGCTTTAAATACTACTTAAAATACAAAAACTGACATGAAAAAAAGCACACGATTCTCCCCACATTCTGAGTCAGAGGTGGCTGGTGAAATAGTAAAGCATATTTAATTACAAAGATACAAATATAACTTATTTAATAATGCTGTCAGCAGCTCCTGCTACAAAGTAGGGATGGTCAAATTCACAGAACATGACAGTCACATAAGACAATTTACATAAGTGTGGGAGTTACGGACAGACATGGATTAGATGATGCGCTTTCCTGGCAGCACATTTCTTTATATATTTAATCCATTTGTAAAAAGGCAGACTGGATGATACTGTCATGTGCCACAGTCAGATTGGTAACTGGATTCATTGGATACTTACAGGTCGCAACTACGAATAATTGTAGCACTGTGACTGGCTTTCACACTGCAGAGCACTCCACGCTGCTCTCTTCAGTCTATCTCCACTTCTTTTCACGGATTTTTAACACACGAAATATAAGTCTCACTAAATCACACTCCCAATATGACTGTACTATGGCACAGAAGAGCTGGGATAGCAACTGGCTATGGGCTGGATGACCAAGAGGTCAGAGTTCAAGTCCTGGTAGGGGTCAAATTTTTCTCTTCTCCATGTTGTCCAGACCAGTTCTGGGTTTCACCCTACCTCCTATCCAATGGGTACCAGAGGCTCTTTCACCGGGGGTAAAGCGGCTGGGGTGTGAAGCTGACCACTCACCTCCAGCTAGTGCCAAGGACAAGAAAGTGTGGATCTATACATCCACTCTCCATATGCCTTCATGGCGTAGTGCTTAATTAGTTAAAACACAGGGATAACTTTACCTCTTTACAGTATACATAGTCTTGAAATCACACGTTAAATCTTCACAAGCTGACTTCTTGCACTCCTCTGCACTCCGCAAACTTACTGCTATCCTTTTGAATGTGTGCTTCTGCTTCTGCTACTACTTGTAACTCATAACTGCCTTAAATGCATTCTGTCACTTACTTATATAGCCACAGAATGGACATGGATCTACAGTGCACACATATCACATGACCGTGTTTACAGAGTTGTTGCCTGGCAACGCACTGATCAAACCCACTATTTTCCTGCAAGCCAGAGTAACCAGTCAAAAGAACTGCATGTGGTTTGCAAGCCACAGCTTGGCCATACCTGCTATAGGATTACTAAGCAGAAACATAAAGCTATCCCTGCAACAGGCTGTGGAGCCACAGATGTCTAGACAGTTGGCTCACAGATGGTGGTGAGGTTGTCAGCTGTATGTGCTGGTTGCCTGTTACCCCTAGGAAGATTCCTTATACCTACATATTTCTGTTAGAGGCTGAGTCAACACCAGGGCCATAGTGTGGCTGGAAGGATTAGGTCAAATGAAAAACCCAGTGATTTTAGGATCACTAGTGAATAATGAATTGTAAAGGATGTGGAAGGAAGCAGTCATGGCCTGATTTGAGGTACTATCCAGGTATTCACCTGAAAAGACCAAGGATAACCATGAAAAACCTGCATCGAGTTGGTGGTTCTCCATGTCATAACTTGAAGCAGGGTTTTCCCAAACACAGCAGGAGTGACAACTGCATCAGATCTGAGGTTTCCATGGCGATGACTATGAAGAATCCCATCATCTGAGATGTGGCGCCATGTAGACCTTGTGTGAACCAACGTTTCGGAGGAACGCATCACCTCCGTCTTCACGGCAGAAAAATCGGTGAGTGAGGAACCAGCTGCAGGCTGCAGCCACGTGCTCATGCTGGTTCCTTGCTCAAGGATTTCTCTACCCTGAAGATGGAGGCCATATGTTCCTCCAAAACGTTGGTTCACACAAGGTCTACATGGCGCCACATCACAGATGATGGGATTCTTCAGGAGTGACAACTGTTTGACCATTATGCTTCATGCTCTGCATTCCTAGGTCCCTTTTCTACAAGCATTTGTGGTGTCTTAGGAAACCCTGGTTTAACTGTCACATGACTTATCAATGGTTTGCTTAGACACACCACAAAAAGTCATGCAGCATTAATGCTCATGGAAAATGAGCATTAACTCTGGTCCTGGATGGTGGTAATAAGTCAACTCCAAATGCTAGTTCCTTCTAACCTGACAAAAGATAACTTAACTGTGGACTATGAATACAAATGTAGTTCATCTGTTCCACTGTCTGAGATGTGGAAGATGCAGAAGGCCAGATATGACCTATCGTGCGGGAGTTATCATGCATAGTGTGGTAAGGTTCAGTGCTGTTTTGTCAGCTCAGCTGTATTCATCAGTAATGGAGCTTGTCTAGACAAGTTTAACTGAATTAATATTCATGGTGTCCCAACTGCTGCTTATCACAGCAGTCATCTAACACTCACTTCTGTTATTTACTTCCACAGAAACACATCTCAGCTGCTTGTCACATCATGAAAACTGTCTTTATACGTGTTAAAATCACAGACAAAATTACATTGTGTTAAAACAAAATTTAAACTTTCAAATGTTACAAAAGGTGCACATAGTAGTGTCATTGGTTGGGGCACTATGCTACAAGCCAGAAGGTCACAGGTTCGATTCCTGATGAGGTCACTGGATTTCTCAATTGATCTATTCCTTCCAGCTGCATTATCGCCCTGGTGTTGACTCAGCCTCTAACGGAAACGAGCACCAGGAATCTTCCAGGGGGGAGAAAGGTGGCTGGCATGTAAGGCTGACATCCTCACCACCATCTGAGAGACAGCTGTCTAGAAAATGTGGGACCCTTGACGTCTCACAACCCTATGGATCACCATGGCCTGTTACAGGGATACGTTTTTTACAGAATGTTACTGAATTGTCTTAACTCCTTAAAGCATGGTAGTTTCTATATGTACCACTTGCACTTCAACATAAAAGAAATATCTATATTCTGCCCACAGAATGTATTTACAGCCCATGTATCCTTCTAAAGACAAACAGTGAAACAGTGATTATCTCTTTAAACTGCATTAACTGGCTGGTGTCTATATTTTCTGCATTAACTGAATTTATAAATGAACTGCCTGGCAAATGGGAACCAGTGTACTCCATAAAAATGTACTCTCATTAACCCCTTCACTCCTTTAGGCCTCAGATTACTTGCTGGGGGTCATCTGCATCGACATGGTACTGTGCCTGCCCAACTTGATCAAGGGGCTCCATGATTTTTCTCAGTCCTAGAGGAAATGCTGAATTGGTACTCAAGCTGCACATTGCACTGCATCAGAATTCTGATCCAGCACAGTGTGCAGCCTGATCACTTCCCATCACTTTACCTGAAGGATTACCAGGCACTGCCTGGGAACATTCAGAATGAGACATTTTCAGTCACTGTAAACATGAAATTCCTTGGCTCAGAAATTGATAATTAGTAAAACAGGAAAACAAATGAAACAAATCCAATTCATGGAAAAGTCATATCAATCAGTTGGTTCCAAAGCTGAGTGAAGCATGTTATGCAGTCAGATCCATGTCGCATATCAGCAACACTGACACTCTCAAATCAATTAACTTTGGTTGCTTTCACTCTTCAATGAAGTATGGAATAATTTTTTGAAGTAATTCATCTGACAGCAAAAAGGAAGTTACATTGCAAAAAAGAAAAACTGTTAAAGACTCATGATGGGTGTCAAATTCTTGTAGAAATCTATTTAAGAGACTAGAGATCTTAACTCTTCCATGTGAATATATATTTTCATTAATAAACTTTGTTACAAATAACAAAAGAACATTTTCAGATGAATGCAGATGTACACAGTGTGAACATAAATCACAAGCACTATCTCCATAAACCAATTGCTAACCTCTCTCATGCTTTCACAAAGGCATGTTATGCTGGGATCAACAATTTTAATAACCTGCCATCTGATCTCAAAAGTCTTATGAATGAAAAAGCATGATTTAAAATAGCACTGAAACGATATTTAAATACACATTCACTCTACTCTGTTGATGAATACCTATTGTCTGGAAAGTGACTCATTCATTTGAAGGTTGTGTAAAGAGCTTAAGTTGACAGTATTAATGTATGTGTATTTTTGAATGGCCTCATGTTTAACCACCGTTTTCTCTTGTCTGGAAACTTCAGACATACTGTACACATGGTTTTATATTTATATGACATATCCCACATTCATTTTGACTCACTCTGGGTCCAGGGGATGCAATGAAATGTAATGTATTGTAAAGTTGTCCCTGTGCTTACCTAATTAAGCATTATGTTGTGAAGATGTATGGGGGAGTGGATGTACAGATTCAAGTTTTCTTGACCTTGGCACTAGTTGGAGTGAGGGCTCAGCTTCACACCCTGGCTGCTTTACCCCTTGGAAAACCTCCCCTCCCTCAGGTATCGATTGGATAGGTGGGCCTTGAGAGCAGAAAAAATCTTGTCCTTAAGAACACTCTGACCCCTCAGCCATCCAGCCCATAGCGACTCGTTTTCTATCACGTAAAAAGTAAAGCTATCCCTGTAACAGGCCATGGAGGCCCATAGGGTTGTGAGACGTTGAGGGTCCCACGTCATCTAGACAATCGGCTCACAGATGGCTGTGAGGTTGTCAGCCTTATGCACTGGCCACCCTTTAAACGCAGGAAGATTCCTGGTACTCATTTCTGTTAGAGGCCGAGTCAACCCCAGAGCCATAGTGGGGCTGGAAGGATTAGGCAAATTGAAAAAAATTCCCTCATTGGGACTCAAACCTGTAACCTTCTGGCTTCTAGTGTAGTGCCTCAACCAACTATGCTACCATGTGCCCCTTATCATGTACCCCATGAAAATGTAATTCCCCTCACTTACCCTTTCAGTCTCCCCCCCCCCCGCTCTCCAGGTGTCAAAGGGTTAAAGTAATATTAAACGAGTTTCAATATATCCTGCGAGGGTGGACAGATGTGAGGGATACATGATCTGGATGATCACTGATTACAGCCCAGATGAATGAAATGTTTGTTTTGATAAATCGTCTTACTGGGACATCACATTTGTACAGCAAAATCAAGTTTGGTCTACCCGCATTCAATAAAGAAAATCGAAGCCCCAGAAGGGTACATAAGATTTATGATTTCCACAATGGGTAAGATTCATATTAACACTGCCTCCATCTTCATGGTAGGTCTCTAGCCTAGAGAATACAATAATGGGCAAATAATACACTTAAAGAGTTCAGCAAAAAACGTTTCTGAATTGCCTCTTACTATAGGCTGAGGCTGCATGCAGCATTCCAACTTGGGACAACAGTACCAGCAGCAGTGTGTCCTGTTGGGATGTGACGCTGTGTGGTTTGTAAGGCAGGCACCAATGTTTCAGAGAAACCCAGTGCCTCTGCCTCTACCACTCTGACTAAGGACATGGTAGATGTCTCCGAAACACTTCTGTCTATGAGACTATAAAGTGTCACATCACAGAAGAACACATCTTAATGCCGTACCACTTCAAATATATGATAACCTTGAATTTGTGTCCGGTTTTTGAATGTGGGTCTTAGGAGGAAAAAAATGAGATGCACATTCCTCGAATTCAAGACAAAACTAAATTCTTCAGCAGGAAAAACGTGTGAAATGTGCATTTTATATCCAAAGTAATATAGTATTTACTGCCACAAGAACGTCAAATCTCATGATAATGAACCTTTTTGAGTTTCATAAAAGGTGGGGAATTTTTGACTAGCTGAGCGACTATTAGCTTCTTCATTATGGATTCTGCTCCATGGTGTTAGCTTTAAAAAAACTGGTCACATGTTCGCAGAAACCTTTTTTTAAAGTAAACCAGATGTCAGAAGGAAAGCAGAAAAGTGGAAGATAACAGAGCAGAAGAACAGGTATCTACCACAAAGGATGCAAAGGCACTTGCAGGACCCTACACAGCCCAGAAGTAATGCAATGCACAGCACTCTGTAGTCTACCCATTTTCATACTAACAAAATGGCAATTTCAAGTTATCCCGGGTGAAAATCAAAATGAGGCAGAAGGAAAATAAGGAGGGAAAGAGACACAAGGACAGGACACAGAGATGTGTCTGTGTGTCTGTGTGAAGGGACCAGTTTGCTGCTGAAAGCTTCAAATATCAAAATTACTTCATATCAACATGAAATCGATGAGAAGTTGAATTCGTGAATGGCATAAATAAATAACATTAAAATAAAAAAATGATAAGCTGGTAGCCATCTTCCAAATATATACATGTATATGGTCGCTGCCATGTATCCTCACAAGACACACTTTCTTACTATATTTATACACACACACGGAGAAAAGGTAATGTCAACATTCAGGGAGGTCAGTGTATCGGTCATTCTAAGCAAAAGTGTATATGTACATGCGTCCTGTTAAGAACGTACAGGCGAGCAACACACCATGTCCTCACACAAGTTGCAAAGTGCACTGATGTTGACGGTGGAATTTTCGGAAATGTATTACACTAGGTAAACTGTACCAACTTTTTAAGATTTGAGGCTTTCACGGCGGTGACTATGAAGAAAGCAGTCTTCTGGGATTTGGCACCATGTATATGTGGTGTTAACCGACGTTTCGGAGGAACGTATCGCCTCCATCTTCAGGGTAGAAGAAAAAATATAAGAAATCTGCAAGCGAAGAGACCGTGAGAACTGGTAAAAGCAGACTGTGTCTGCGATATGTTCCTCTGAGACATTGGTTAACACCACATATACGCGGTGCCAAATCCCAGAAGACTGCTTTCTTTATACTAACTTTGAATACTACATACAGTACAAAATATCTCTTTCTTATCAACAATTTTGGAATTTACAATAAAACTGTTCAGAATTGGACACATGCACAGATACACTTCTTTGATTAGAATGACCGATACCGTGACCTCCCAGAATATTGACCTTTCCTCCTGGGACACCCTGTATATGTTGAAATCACTGTTTCAGGTTTGTTTGGGGAGCAGTGGATTTTGCACCAAGATGAGGCTATTATTATAGGGAGAACATTTAATACCGAGATTACTGGCTTCAGATCACAAGTATTTAGTGTTGGGGGGGGGGGACATTTTGAACAACATTAAACGGTGACTCGAGATACTAACACATAACAGTAAATGTAAATATTATTAAGATAGCAAACATTTTTCACTGTCTTGCAGTAAATAAATTTCACTACCTTCTTTCCTTTTGCAGTGCTGCCCCACTCCTCATTTTACAAAATTATTTCATTTTATCCTAATGATATTAAAAAAAATTTATAAGCAGTGAATTCTTATAATCACAATTATTGACTTTTTGGACATTATTTATCATTCTGTATCTTTTTATTTAAAAAGAGTTTCATATACCAGACTCTTGTCTCTGTTCGCTGGTAACTCAGCTGGGTCAAACTGATAGAGGGAGTCCCCGTCTCTGGATCTACTAATTCTTGTTACAATTAGACCATGCCACACCTTTCCAGACCTACCCACTAGCTCTTGCAGGCCTTGTAAAGTGTTGTTTATTCTGCACAGTACCCATGGCATTAGGCTCAATTTTAGTTTGATCTTAAAAACATTTTGCGCCCAGCAAACCTTCCAGGCACTTGTCAATGTTGCCATGTACACACCTGAATATACATTATCTCAGGCTCCTGTGACTGAAAACTGCTTGTCTTCTGGGATGTCATGTCATGAAGTTACTGGTGTTTTGCAGGCAATCAGGAATTCTAAGGACAGCGCTAGCAGGTTCCTCTAAAAGAGCGATAACTACTGCCCATATTATACAGTGCCTACCACTAAAGCTAGCACTGTGGGAACTTCAAATTAATGGAAACCCCCCATTCCAAGATTTAAAATGATACCTTACTTACTTACTCACTCATGGAGCTGAGCCCTTCTGGAGGAGCCGCCAATTCTGCAGCTACTCAAGAATTTCCCAGCATTTTATGGAACCCGAAGGTTCATTACTGTGTTCACAAGAGCCTTCCACTGGTCCCTATCCTCAGCCAGATCAATCCAATAAAATGATACCTAAGTGAACAAAAAAGAAAAAGGGGTTATGAGAGTCATGCCACTGGGCATAACTCATTCAGGAGCCAGTACTTATTGAATATATACATTTATTGCAGATTCTGTACAATAAATGTGTGTTAGAAAAATTTATGGAAACATAATTTGTATTTAACAAATTGTTACTTAACCTTAACAGACCATGCACTACATTAATGAAACAGAACTTGGACATGGTCCAGCTGGCTGGGCACTACAATTCTTTCAGTATCAATTTCATTACACCCAAATTCAACATGGCTGCCAACCGTGCAGTACTGGGAAATTTAAAATCCTCTACCTCCAAATGATAAAGGTTCACTACTAACCTTCAAGGAAGGTGTCCACTTTGTAAAATGAGGAGTTCACATGCATAATTACTGTAAAGTTATAAGCTGATGGTTGCTTTAAAACAAAAGTAACTTGGAACTCAACAGCAATGCAAACTGCTGCAAGTGGGATTCTGCTCTCAGAACTGGTACCTTCATAGCACAAACACATATACACTAATCTGTGCATATTTCTGCAGTAAAAACACGTTGCATTGAAAATGTGTTGGGGTTTTATTCTACAGTTTTCTGTGGTAGGGGTCACAGATGACTCATTCCAAAAGCGACTCACCCTTTGTTTTACGACTCATTGAGCTCCCTCAATGACATAAAAACAAAAGGGGAGTCTCTGAAATAGATCATCCATCCTTGAACAATACTCTGCAATAACGGTTAATATGATCCGTACAACGGACACAGCATATTTTTGTACAAACAATAGCAGTTACAGACGGGTCCATATTTATATACACACATCAGGCATGGTGACTCGACAACAGTGTGAGGTAACAAAACTGTTTCCAATGAACAAAATAAAATGGGGGGGGGGGGCAAAGGACGAAGGAGAGGTGAGGCCTGGGTTTGAAAGCATACTGCACCACACAGGCTTGGTGCACTGAGTAACATTAAAGTCAGTGATCCAACAAAGTGATTAAAATTCCTTTTTTTTTTTTTTATGCTCGTTCATTAATTGCTATATTAAAGCACTTCAAGTACACCACCTGAACACCCACAACTGGCAGCAACAATCCTTGCGCATTAACTGGGATCACTAATAGTTAAAATAAATTCCTCTGTACATCACAAAAGAACAGCCTAACTGCAGTTGAGGCTACCAGGTGGCTTGTCTGTACACATATCTACGTAAGAAAAAAAGCACTTAATAAAATAACAGCTCTCGTACCAACAGTTTAATGTTTTCTTATAACGGCAAATAGAAACAAGGTGCGAACAATGCGAGGGATGCCCACGATAGACCAGATGCTGCTTCGTTTTGTTTTGGCAGTGAACACATAATGATATAAAGAACATTATAGAAAACAAATGCTGACACTTGTCTGGGAAGGTGAGACGGCTTTCAGGATCACCACTGCCATCACGGCGAGACTACTGCAACGGGTAGGAAATGAAGTGACGACGAAGATGCCAAGATACCATGACATGAGCAGAAGCTATAGCATCCCTTGCAAGGCGGTAACTACCGTACCATACTGACTGGAGACAAGTGTTACCAACACAAAACTTGCACTTACAAAAGTTGACAGTAACAATCGTTAACAATTACTAGTATTTTACACGTCTTAACAAATCTACACTTACACAATATAACATCTGACCACAGCAGCCTTGCTCTGCAACTATGACGCTACACAGAAAAGGTTAGTCCCCCACCACCAGACCCATCTTCATCAAAGATTTGTTAATTAAATAAAACAGATCAGGTAATATAATTTTACAGAAACATTAGTCAGAAAGTAATTTACTCTCACCACAACCGCCACTCCTATGACGGTTCAAGTGACAATGCAACGTTCTAACCCAAATGTACAAAGCTTGTATTATCTGGAATGTTCGAATACTCTATAATTACCTAATTATGCAGCAAAATGCAAACCATAAAATAAACGTGAATGCAGCTAAGGAAATTTACTCTCAAAAGGAAAATAAAACCATGCGGCTGAACAATCTTCGCCTTGTCTGCCATCGCATGACACTGAATCAACATCAAAGTAAAATTATGGTACAAACAGTTTGATGCCCATGTATCCCTTCCAGAGCGAGGCCCACATCCTCGCTCTCTGGAATGTGTAAATGCACAAAAATTAACACATCATAAATAAAATAAAAAAAAAAAAAAGACGACAACAGCGAGCAAGGATATTGTGGTCACGTGAAGATTTCAGTTTTAAAACATAATTATATCAAAATGCAATGAAATCATCATGTGGAGAGGCGCCACATTTCCAAGCAGCTGAGTGACGGACATCCGTGCTGACATTTCGGCGCCACCACGGTGGCATGGGAAACTACGGTACAGTACAAATCCTGAGAGATCAGCTCCATAAACAGGGTGCCTCCGACTTTTTTTGACTTTGTACTTTTTAAAGGCATATTTTCTTTAAAAAAAAGTCAACAGGCATATTAAAATATTACATAGCAGTTCTCACTGTGCTTACGACAAGTTTAATATCGGTTAAAAGTCAATTTTTGATAACTTTCTATAGTACAAAATTAGAAGTGATATCTACGGTCTAGCCAGTTTACCAGATTTTCTTGCCAAGGAATATTTTATTGCACATCTTCAAGAGGAATCACTATGCACCTAGAGAGAACCTCTGTCACAGCTTCCCGGTAACTCGCATAATGCCCATCTCGAGCCTAAGATCAGCGCTGTCCTCCGCCTTGTCACGTGGAGGCACACGGTAATGATGCTTACTTCACCTTGTCCAAACTGACTGTTGGCTCCGTCACACAAAATGATGTTGTCGGAGCAATGCACTTGGTAACCACCACACCACCTGGACCTTCCTCCCACCAAACTAGCGTTTTTCTGGCTGCTTAAGCCGGCAGCAAATACTTCTTTCCCCTCCCATTTATAGGGAGAATGGCATGGACCCCAAACACCACCTGCTTTCACTCAAAGACTGCAGTGGCATGTCCAGTTTTGAAGATATGATAGAGATCGTGTACATCCGTCTGCATGGATCTCTGCGGCAGCCCCACTTGATGTTATGCTGTTTGAGAGAATGCAGAGATGTGACGATGAGGCCTGGACGAAGTGTTAAAACGGACGCGAAGTCTGAAGGGACCGGCCTCCAATTCCCGCGAACCTGTCACCAATGCTAAAGGAGAATGAGAAAACAATGATCAGATTTAGACAGCACTAGTAATGTTTGTGCTGATTCAGTGGCTCTGTCGGTAATACTGCAAGCCTCAATACCAGAAACTCAGAACTGTATTTATAACTATACATAGAACTCAGTACTTTATTTACGCAATTAATTAAATCTGTTACTTGAAACTGCATTTACACAACAAAATATTTGTTGTCACTTTGTATGTGACATGTCCCTCAGGTTTTGCCCAAGAAGCCTGCGTCTATTCAACTCAACTATTCTGCATTACTATTTTACAGAAACTTGAACGTCAATTTTAGTGTAACTTCTTGTGAACAGAACATCAGAGTTCCACTTCATGCATCTAAAAAATGCGCATAAATTCCCACTTGTGGTACCACCTGAAATTCTAAAACTCTTATTTATTTATTTAATTTGACTATGACTTAGGGTGCACGATGCAAGCAGCTAACCCAATTATAATACCAAGAACAGTCCCGGGGGCCACACGTCAGCCTTCAATTCCACTAAGAGAGCCTGAAACATTATGAACTCATAAAAAAAGTGTAAAGGCCATTAAGAAGTGACTGAAAGATACAAATAATGCTGTTATAACAGATATCAGCAAGAGGGTAAGAAGTGAACCTCGACCTCATTCCCATTGGACCTGAGGTTGTCACAACGCTGACGTCTGGACTGTGACCCTGCAGTCTAGTGGAGGTTTACCCACATTTTGTAGGATTATTCAGAGGAACACACAAAGCAAAGAGAGTATGCTTTGACTGACTGCAAAGTAAAGGACTTCACCCTGAAGGTGGAGGCATAAGTTCCTCTGAAACGTTGGTAAACTTCTACGACTACACAGAAAAAGTCCACAAGACATCTTTACCCTTTGGACTCTGTGCAGTTTGTATTCATTTCCACTGCTGAAGCTGTGGAGATGTATACAAACTGCTTTCTTGATGATGTGAATGTGTTAAGTGTGACATCATTTATCATACTCAGTGCAATATGTTAATACCACTGACTGTTACTTTCTCTGATCTGACGTGTTCCAATATTGCAGCAGAAATGCGACAACAATAATAATAATAATACAGAATATGCATGCATTTATATGTGTCTGCAGCATTATAAAGATAAAATAGAATATATATTTGGCTGCTGATTTAGATTAAAATAAAATAATCAGCTCGAAGGACTTGGAAGGGCACCCTGTACACTCACAACTTCAGTTATCAATGGTTCCCTTGGGTTGTGGCGCTTGCAGATGCTATTTCCGCTTGGCGTGTAACATTTCCATGAGCAACGTTTGTGTCGGTGCGCCACCATTGCAGTGTTTATGGTAAAGATGGTCTTCCCCTCTGCTGGCCATCGCGTGAATCTCTGGCATCACCATAAGCAGTTTCGCGAACTTATCCTGGAACACACGAGCACACCGAGAAAAAGAAAACCTCTTAAAATATTTTATTTCCTCTCTTTCACTACACAAATGCTACAAAGACATGAGGTCAAGTACCCACATGTCAGAGAGGTGCAGGGCTCGTCCAAGACATGTTGGTGCCTTACAGGACTTTGTTTCCTGTTGCCCACAGTTAAAATGCAAATAAAACTCAGGGGCCAACACATGTTGGCTCAGTTCAGCAGTGAAACACATCTCTCCACAAGACAGATTGCTCCTAGCCACACCAAACGCAACTGTTCCACAGCAATGCACTTATTGCAATGTGATGTACTGGGCATATAGAATGCGGTACAAAATATAATCTACTGCCCAAAATCTGTGGAGAAGTGAGAGACAGAAAAAAATGACAGTCGAAGAAAATATTAAGATCCAAATTCACACGTTTTTCCACACATCAGCCTTGACGTTGGACTTGTTAAGGATGAGAAGATGGGTGGCTTTGTACAGCCCTGGTTATTCAAATATACCTTTCTGTGTCGCTTACATAATACATGATTGTGTATGTACGTACCACACCCCTCACTGGCAGTAATAAGATGGGCCTCGAGCAACGGTGAAATGACGATTGGTAGGCTGAAAACTGAAGTACTTGAAGGCTAAACGTGGCCTAGACTCACTTTGTGCACCACATATCGCACATGGACTGCCCGGAGACTGAACCCAGGCATCCGGGTGAGATGTTGGCATCTGACTGCCCGAGCTACAGCACTGTCACTGGGTTTAGGCTGAGCAACCAAACTGACATATAACAGCAAGTACATATGCATGAAGAGATTTTCGAGATCTTCACAGGAGTGACTTTCTGCAGTTTTGTAGAGAGGTGCTACAGTGTTGGAGAAACCTGCTACTTCAAAACTACATACTGTCACGTTTCGGAAGTCTGTAATCTTAGTACTTACCATGACAATTTCGAATTCTCGATATGAACGAAATTTAAACTTAATTGATCATAAACTTTGCAGGTTAAAAGATGGGGAGGCACCTACTCAACCGCACCCACGACCCAACTTGCTAAGCATCTCCTCACTTTTTCACCTGAGGATAGGAATAGACCCAATTTCTGAAATCTTATGTCGTATGTATATCTATGGTCAGTCACATATTTTCCAGGCATTCTGCTGAACTCTCTGCTTTGCAACTGAATTACACGAAATTTCTTCCCACTACTAGATATACTGGTACCTACTCCAACCTCCGCAGACTTCCAAATGCATGCTTTGATATTTGATGTAGAAATTAATATCTAACAACAGTGCTACATTACTCTACCCACATCAGATGCAGGCAGACCCAGGGGGCCTTCAAATTGTAATGCACACAGCTCACATTCTCTCAATCCAACCTGTATCCTCACACTACACTTTCACTGGTGAAAATAACGAGCTCCGCATGAACCTACATCTATTACAAGGCATTCTTTAAAACTTCTGCTGGTACAGGGTAGCGTAGTTGGTTGAAGCACTACGCTACAAGCCAGAAGGTCACTTGTTCAAGCCCAGATGAGGTCATCGAAATTTTTTCAATTGACCTAATCCTTCCAGCCGCATTTTGGCCCTGGTGTTGACTCAGCCTCTAACAGAAATGAGTACCAAGAATTAATTAAATAATTTTCCTGGGGAGTAAAGCACAGCTGACAACCTTACCGCCATCTTTAAGCCAATTGTCTAGATAATGTGACCCTCAACGTCTCACAACCCTATGGGCCTTCATGGCCTGGTACAGGGAAAGCAACCATATACTGGGCGAGAATGAGCACTTTTGCTTGCTAGCAATATTGCAAAGGTAAATGAATACTCTTATAAACAGATGACTTCTACTTTTCACGGAGAGAAATCGAAACTGATTGGCTTGGTACAGAACAAATGCTTCTAGCTTGTGTTCGGGATGTGCCCAATTACAGTCTCACCTCAGACAATGGCTATCCTCACTGAGGTTGCCATGGGTTTCTTCAGACCCTCCAGTCAAATTCTGGCACAGTACCTTGAATTGGCCACAACCATATAGTCTAGCTACTGACAGTGGCATGCAATCACGTAGTTGACTGAGGCACTACGCTACACGTTCTATTCCTGATGTCACTGCATTTTTCAATTGACCTAATCCTTCCAGTCACACTGTGGCCCTGAGGCTGACTCAGCCTCTAACAGAAATGAGTACTGGGAATCTTCCTGGGGATAAACGGTGGCCGGGACATAAGGCTGACAATATCACAGCCTTCTGTGAGGTGACTGTGTAGGAAATGTGGGAGCCTCGACGTCTCACAACTCTGTGGGCCTCCACAGCCTGTTGCAGGGACCCCTTTATCGTTTCTTTCATGACAGTGCAGTAAAAAAGCCCACAAGAAGAAAGTAAGTAACAAAATTGAGAGCCTGAATGTAAAGCTGAAACATCTCATCTGGTGGATTCTAATTTTGTGTATAACATTGCTTTTATTGTATTTAAATATGAGAAATAAGTCCCATAAGGACCCTGTGTCCTCTTGCTGACAGATTTAGGAGCTCGACCAAAATGGTGGCGTGGTGTGACCCAACAGAGAGCCCAGTTCCAGGAGTTTTAAAATACTGGGACATCCTCTCTCAAGGTGTCGTTACTTTAACCCCTTATGCATCAAAACGTGAAGCCATGAAAAAATGTGAATAGTTTATATTGCTCAACAGACTGAGCTGTAAATCACCTGGATCTGTGGATAACAATTGACTGTGTAGTCCAAGAGGGCCTGCTGAACTTGGTCATGGCCTTCCTGCACGTGCCTCCGGTTCACGATTCCTCGCACGTCTGCAAATCAGAGAACATTTCCTTCAGCAACGCAACTTTGTAGATTACAGTTTGCTTCTTCCATTGGAGCTGCAAATGTCAACAGAATGCCATGTCATATCCACACTAAAAATTTCAATGAGAGCTTAACCTTCAGGGTTTTGAGGCAGCGCAGAATGTTGTCACAGACACCTAAATTAAGTAGCGCAACAGAACTGTACCTCTGAAACAGAGAAACCTTACTTACTGAGCCCTTCTTGAGGAGATCCCAAATCTGCAGCTACTCAAGAATTTCCCAGCATTTTATGAAACCCGAAGGTTCATTACTGTGTTCAAAGGAGCCCTTCACTGGTCCCTATCCTGAGTCAGATCAATCAAATCCATATGGTCCCATCCTATTGCTAGTGGAGTGGGACTAAGTCCCTTGTACTGCGGCCACTTCTGGCCTATTGTACCAGCCCCAGATGATAGGTGAGGGTGATTGTGGAGCAATTGGTGGAATGAAGATTGGCAGGGAAAACCGAAGTACTCGGAGAAAACCTGCCCCAGTGCCACTTTGTCCACTACAAATCCCACTTAATTAAACCCGGGATCGAACCCGGGCCGCGGTGGGAAGCCAGCGACTAACTGCTTGAGCTATGGTGCAGCCCCGTCCCACCCTGTCTCTCTAAGATCCATTTTAATATTGCTAACCCACCTATGCCTTGGTCTTCCCAGTGGTCTCTTTCCTCCTGGCTTTCCCACTAATATCCTATATGCATTCCTCTTCTCTCCCATTCGTACTACATGCCCTGCTCACCTCATCCTCCTTGACTTGATCATTCTAACTATACTTGGAGAAGAGTACAAGTTATGAAGCTCCTGTCACTTCAGCCCAACCTACAAATATGCAACGATGTGCACTGTCCTGGACACTTTTCAGTTTCACATGTTCTATGTGGTATCCAGGCACAACACTGGACAAAGCCCCATCTGTGCCATCCTAACCATGACAACAGCTGCAACAACCCTTCCTCAAACAGCTCATCTTACCACACAGTGCTACATTACCTACATTCTGACAGAACTGTAAATCACAAATCATCCATCTAGCGCCAAGTTTAAGAAGATGTGGAGTTCTACCTCCACTCATCTATGTTTCCATGGCTTGGAGCTTATCTAAGCTCTGGGAGAATTTTTACCTTTATCATTTACATAAATAGGGAAGCCAAGATAGTGCTGTTGGTATACCTACTAGCTACAGGCTGGACGGTCATTGGATCGGAGTTCGAGTCCCGCTAGAGGCAACATTTTTTTCCTCTCCACTTCGTCCTGACCGGTTTCGGGGCCCACTGACCTTCCTATCTAACAGGTAACGGGGGCTCTCTCCTTGTGGGAAAGGCGGTCAGGGCGTGAAGCTGACCACCCACCAACTAGTGCCGAAGTAAAAAATGAGTGGATCTATACACCCACTCCACAATACGTCTTCATGGTGTAGTGCGACAACTTACTTTAGCATTTCGATAAATTTCAAGCATGAAGCTCAGTGATATATAACAGAATGATTGGAAGGGATGTGGAAGGAAGTGGTCGTGGCCTAATTCGAAGCGTTCTGAAAGGTCTTCTCGACCCCAGAGACGCAAATGTTTCTAGCATTTCTTAGGGAAATTAAACTTTCTCTTCAGTAAGGAGCTGTACTTGGGCCCCTCACGCACTCATGGGGCGGCGTGTAGCCCCAAGGACAGCCGGAATCAGAGCCAGTCAGACGTTCGGCCCATCCTTCCTCCTGTATCCACAGCGACTTTTGTTTGCCGGCCAGTGCGACAGTGCTGCTTGGGGGAAAGAGCGGACAGTCACGGCATCACTTCTCGCCTACCTCACATCATTCAAAGTCAGAAGCCAACGGGACCGCGGAAACAAAACATCGCAGCCCGATATACGTAAGCACCAAGCCATGTCGACGTATGGGGGAGTGGAGGTACAGCTTCACAAGAATTCTTACTTTTGGCACTGGTCTCATTTCCTTTTAGAGTTATCTGACGGCGCTGTTGGTAGACTGCACGGCGTCATATAAACATATGATCGATAAATTTGGAAGGATCCGGTGGTCGCTTAATCGCAGCACTAACCCATCATTTTCCGGGAGGGCCTGAAGAAAACTACGAAAAACTTCAGTCAGGATATTGTTGGGTCTGAGGTTTTCACTGCGATGACTATGGGCAGAAGAGTCTTAAGACTTGTAACATGATGTAGTTCGGAGGTTGTTCGATGTTTCGGCGGAACAAATCGCCTCCATCTTCACGGTCGAAAAGAAAGTCAAGCAAGAAACCCGCAAGAGCAGGCGGATTATAAGGCGCTGCAACCCAGCAAGGCCGTATTGTGCCCAGGCTAATCCATGTCCCTTGAGAGATTCGAACCGAACGCCTCCCAGGCCAAAGCTGCTCTGTGGCACTGGTTGGCGCCCACGTCACAATCTTACCGGGGTTAAGCAGAAGCAGGAACTTCACGCAGATGTAGTCCGTGTCATCGAACTTGAGGTCCTGCAGTTTGACCATCAGCTGATTGAAGTGGTCGGCCAGAGTAGGGACACCAAGCAGGCCCAGACAGAGCAGGTCGAACTTCTGTCCGTTCGGTAAGGTGGTCTCGTCGGGCAGGTTGTTATGCATCCGCTGGTGCATGTGGTCAAGCACCAACATGTCCGACCACGAGTGCTGAAGCAGCTTCATCTGGTCATCCACCTGCGAACAAAATCACCACGGTTGCTTAGCAACGCGCAACTGAGCCCTCATTACCTTGGAGGTGGTCAGGCCTACGACCGTTCAGGAATAGCGAAATATGGCATAACCTGCTGAACAAGCCTCCACTGAGCCTGCGTATATCTCGCGTAAGGCACACTGCGTGAGATCGGGTGCAACAAACATGGCGCCAATCCTTTCACCGACGAGGAGACCTCGTTTCCAGACACATAAACAATGCTGGGACGAACATAAATTAGGTTATGCGTCCCGAAATCAAGAACGACTGTGCTGGCGAGGGCCAGCAGCAATTTACTGGACTCGACTGAGTCCTTCTTGAGAAGTAAATCTTTGTTCAGCTGTTCAGGATATTCTCAGCGTGTTCACAAGAGTCTGTCACTGGTCCCTATTTCGGAAAGGTCAATGAGTTACCTTCCCAAACTACGCACTTCATCATTAATCCGGAAAACCACACCCCCGCGACCCCTGTCTCCAGCCACTCCTTATAACCATCCTAACGTCTTCACTTCCACACTGACTCTAACAGAAGGCCGAACGAGCGAAGCCTGGGAACCGTCTGAAAAAATTATCCTTTTTCCACCCCATTTCCCGAAAACTCTCGCTTCTCCCACGATTTTCCCCTCCACCTCATACTGTACCATATTTTCTTACCTCTGTCTTTTTCAGGATAAAAAAATAACATTAATTATGGAGTTCTACTTTCTGGGCTATAACGCTGTTTATTCAACCGATGTTTCGAAGGAACATATCACCTCCATCTTCAGGACCGAAGAATAAGCCAAGCAAGAAACCAACTTCAAACCAGGTGGTAAGAAGAGCTTCCTGCTTATTTTAATACAGGCGACATGTTCCTCTGAAACGTCGGCTGAACTTTCAACGGACTACACTATAGAATTCTCCACAAGCAGCGGTGTGAGAACCTCGAGTCCTGCAACATGAATCATATGGAGACGTTCACGTCACTGAGACTCACCGGGTGAGTCTCATCACCGCCGTCCACTGGCCAGTCTCGCTTTCACATTCCTGGCACTGCGGCTTTCAGGAAGAGCCTTGACTCCAAGGTTAGGGTGGGTCCGCGAGCAACTGCCGAGACATTCAACCCGTTCGAAACAATTACCGAAACGGAGAGTCGAAAACGGGACCGCTGAGAGCACAGGGCGCGTGCGCGTAACTTCCGAAATCAGACTCCTTCTGTCACGGTGGGTTTCGGAAGTGACGATACATCCGTACAATCCGAAACCCCTGACCTCATAATCACTAAACCGTGTCTGCAACATCTTTAGAGTTTACGTCATCACCGGATAGTGATGCGTATCATTACGTCATCGTTGGGAAAATTGTGAGATTCTATTCTGAGCGCAGGGTGGCAAGCAAAACCCTGAGCGCTGTTCTACTCAGCCGGAAGTCGTCCCTGCGCAGGGTGCGGAGTCCAGGACCTTTATTCGAGGATCGCATTTTGTACGAAACTCAAGAACTGGTAGAACCGGTACAGCAAAATTAATTGGTTGAGGCACTATGCTACAAGCCGGAAGATCTCGGGTTCGATTCCCGATGAGGGCATTGCCACTATGGCCCTGGGGTAGACTCAGCCTCTAACAGAAATGAGTACCACGAATATTTGTGAGGGGTAAAGGGCGACCGGCGCGTAAGGCTGACGTCACCGCCATCTGTGTGCCGATTGTCTAGAGAAAATGTGGGAGCCTCGACGTCTCACAACTCTATGGGTCTCCACGGCCTCTTACAGGGATACCTTTACCTTACAATTGACGATGCCGATACTGTGAAGAGAAAACTAGGCACAAGTTCGGTAAGGCTGGGTATCGATTGCGCGGCTGCCGCGCGAGGCAGACACGTTCGTTTGTTTACCGTGTTTGTATCCAGCATCGAAGCGCGGCAGCCGCGTGCGGCCGTTGGTCGACGAGGCGAAAGAAACACCGGAACGGCGCAAGACCGTCTCAACTGAAAGAGCACAGAACACTGGGGCAAAGAACCGGTCCGATTTGGCTCGTTACGAGCCAAGTTCGCGCGCGGCAGAATTGTATTGACTTTGCGAGGTAAAACAACGACCACTGCCTCGCGCGGCAGCCGCGCGCAATCGATACCCGGCTTAAGAAGAATGATGCGGCATATACAGTCAACTGTAAATGACACCAAGTTCTGAGAGGATTTTACTGCTACAGAGAAATGATTCATCAGGAAATAATTCTTTCTGCTTTCTTCAGGAAGAAAATGACAGTTATGAGGAAAATGGGCCACGGCAGGTCCCGTCTTCCAGTGCGGAAAGCCGATCTGCATACGCTACACAAAGCTCGCAATGAAACTTAAATAAATTACCAATTTGAAGCGCGGGCCGTGCCCTCATCCGTCCGTCCGTCCGTATGCTTTCAAATTCATTATTCACTGGCACTGGCCACATTACTGACAGCACACTTGCCAGGAACGTATCCGCACCATTGCTATACTATAACGACCCCGCATAACGCGGATCAAGTTAGCGCTCTCGTTTCAAGAAACTCGCACCCAGCGTCAAATGGAGACCTGCAAAGTCCTGCGATCATTACGTCACGGTTACACGGCTAATAACAATCACCACTGTCTTCGTGTTATGAGCTGTACAGCGGATTTCATGTACCGTCACAACACAACTATACTAAGGTCAGTGCCAAGTTTCGCTCTGAAGATGGAGGCGATACGTTCCTCCGAAACTTCGGTTCACACAAGATTACACGGCGCCACATCCCTGAAGATGGCATTCTTCATAGTCACCGCCTTGAAAACCTCAAATCTTACATAAACATAAAAGTCTGCCTTCTGCGATGTGACGCCGTTTAGTCAGGTAGAACGTTACCAACGTTTCGAAGGTTCGAAGCAAGTTTCCGCCTACATCTTCAAGGTAGAAGACTCAAGATGGGGGCATTAGATTGTTCGCTCGGAGATGTTAGTGCCTACCAGACTATACGGCAACACATCACAGAAGTCAGAGGCCTTAACAGTCACCGCCATCAGCTGATCCCCAACGCGTCAATGTCACGTGACGATGGTGGCAGTGAAGCGAATCCCGCGGCTCTCGACTTACGGCACGACGTACTTTTATTTACTTCGAAAATACGAGAAAAGGGCACTGGAAACAGAATGACATTCGTTTTCTTCTTCTCCACAACTTTTATTGCGAGTTAATCTCGAGATGCGCGCGCAGAAATGCGCGAAGGCCTTTTTAAGTGTCCGGTATTGTTGACCGATTTTAACCAAAACTAAAATGTGTGGAACTCTACAATATAAACTGTCATAAGCCCCCATTTAGTGGCTCTCGCGTTATTACAGACGGACGGACGGACAGCCAGTCACGACGTACTCTCCAACGGTTTGAATGCAACTCAACCTTCATTCTCTTTTCAAAAAAACAACAAAAACGCAAACCAAAAGGGGGTCCATTTCGCGTGGAAAAGCACAGGTTTGAACTTTGTCTTTACTTCATGCAGCTGTACAGGTTATACACAAACGCAGTACAGAAATGTAGCAGCAGTTGCCGCACGAGAACGGCGTAACAGTCAAGTCAACTAGAGTCCGCCCTTCTGTTCGAGCTCACAACAAACCTACTTCACAGATAGGTAACAACGCTTCGGAGGAACATGGAGACTCCTTATTCAGGGTAGAAAATGCTGTCGGTCCAAAACGATACTATCAACCCGCAGAAGTACACCGCGTGACGACTGCAAAACCCGTCGTTTCCAGGCTTCGCCGTGTCTGTGCGCATGACAAGAACTGAAGGGCCGCTGAAGAGATTTCCACGATATTTTATATTCTTTCGATACTACTAAATTTGTCGATATATATATACTAACTTTTGGTTAAAATCGGGCAACAATAACGGACACGTCACATGAAGACCTACAGGAGTTCCTGCGTGCGGAAAACACATGGAACAAAATCTGCAGAGAAAAACGGAACGCCAATTTGCGGGACAACTAACAAGAGGAAACAGAACATGCCAGAAGAGTTTACTGACGCGCATTTCCTCACTTCTTTGTCCACAGCACATACCGAAATTACACTACGACACCTTCCGAAACACCATGGATAATTCTGAGGGGGGGGGGGGTCAGGAGAAGAAAGCCCTAATAACGATAACGCTATTCACAGTAAATATGACCAGCGCCTCTCGCCGAGAAGTATCGTTCGTAGTAAGGAAACGGTGAAACCTTCAGCCAGGATTAACTAACAGCGACAGTACGGGATCTCGCAAATACACGCGTGCGCAACCTCAGTGCCCGAAAGCTCTACATGTTTTGACAGAAAAGTATGCACACGAATACCGGGCCGAAAAAGTCCGCTGTCTGGGGAACATCGGATACAAAGAAAGTTACGAGGGTTGGCTCTACTGCCTTCTTCAGTACACTGATTCTCCGAGCATAATGGGCCAACCTCTGGCATCCATGAGCAATGAATGCTTAACCGGTTGGGCGTTGTTATGGAGACGGAGTGTTCCCTGTGAGGTATGGATTGACTTTTGGACCGAAGAGAGATGAAGTGACAGGAGGTTGGAGAAAACTGCATAATGAGGAGCTCTGCATATATATATTGGTGGGACAGTCAGAAGGAAAGTGACCACTAGAAAGATCAAGAAACAGGTGGGTGGACAATATTAAAATGGATTGCATGGACTGGATTGATTTGAGTTGGGATAGGGGCCAGTGGAGAGCTCTTGTGAACACGGTACTGAACCTTCGGGTTGAATAAAATGTTGGGACGTTGTTATGCAGCTACACAACTGACGGCTTCTCAAGACGGGCTGTGTGATGCGTGCGTATGTGAATAACAAATGGTGCGGAACTATATGACGTCATAAATGTTTTTATATTTATTTAAACAGGATTGGCAGCCGACCAGCCAGACTCACTCGCATTTGGCTTTGACACACTTCCACGCCAAGGCCACTCCAGCGGACCGCCAACCGCTCCGCCGCGCCGCAGATCCGCCCAACT